CGAGATATTATGTCGTTTTGGAACGTCATATCTCCGCGCGAAGCTATTACCCGAGATATTATGTCGTTTTGGAACGTCATATCTCCGCGCGAAGCTATTACCCGAGATATTATGTCGTTTTGGAACGTCATATCTCCGCGCGGAGCTATTATCCGAGATATTATGTCGTTTTGGAACGTCATATCTCCAGCGCAAAGCTATTACTCGAGATATTAAAAAAAAATCATCGAAAAAGTTTCGATTTTAGCACCGACCTCGATTTTGAAGAAAAAAACATGATGATTTGGAATGTCATATCCTCGCGCGGAGTTATTTCGTTTTGGAACGTCATATCTCCGCGCGGAACTATTATCCGAGATATTATGTCGTTTTGGAACGTCATATCTCCAGCGCGGAGCTATTATCCGAGATATTATGTAGTTTTGAAACGTCATATCTCCAGCGCGAAGCTATTACCAGAGATATTATGTCGTTTTGGAACGTCATATCTCCGCGTGGAGCTATTATCCGAGATATTATGTCATTTTGGAACGTCATATCTCCAGCGCAAAGCTATTACCCGAGATATTAAAAAAAATCATCGAAAAAGTTCTATTTTAGCATCGACCTCGATTTTGAAAAAAAAAAATCTGATGATTTGGAATGTCATATCTTCGCGCGGAGTTATGTCGTTTTGGAACGTCATATCTCCGCGCGGAACTATTATCCGAGATATTATGTCGTTTTGGAACGTCATATCTCCAGCGCGGAGCTATTATCCGAGATATTATGTCGTTTTGGAACGTCATATCTCCAGCGCGAAGCTATTACCCGAGATATTATGTCGTTTTGGAACGTCATATCTCCGCGCGGAGCTATTATCCGAGATATTATGTCGTTTTGGAACGTCATATCTCCAGCGCGGAGCTATTATCCGAGATATTATGTCGTTTTGGAACGTCATATCTCCAGCGCAAAGCTATTACCAGAGATATTATGTCGTTTTCGAACGTCATATCTCCAGCGCGAAGTTGTTACCCGAGATATTATGTCGTTTTGGAACGTCATATCTCCAGCGCGAAGCTATTATCCGAGATATTATGTCGTTTTGGAACGTCATATCTCCAGCGCAAAGCTATTACCCGAGATATTAAAAAAAATCATCGAAAATGTTTCGATTTTAGCATCGACCTCGATTTTGAAAAAAAAAATCTGATGATTTGGAATGTCATATCTTCGCGCGGAGTTATGTCGTTTTGGAACGTCATATCTCCGCGCGGATCTATTACACGAGATATTATGTCGTTTTGGAACGTCATATCTCCGCGCGAAGCTATTACCCGAGATATTATGTCGTTTTGGAACGTCATATCTCCAGCGCGGAGCTATTATCCGAGATATTATGTCGTTTTGGAACGTCATATCTCCAGCGCGAAGCTATTACCCGAGATATTAAAAAAAATCATCGAAAAAGTTTCGATTTTAGCATCGAACTCGATTTTGAAAAAAAAAAATCTGATGATTTGGAATGTCATATCTTCGCGCGGAGTTATGTCGTTTTGGAACGTCATATCTCCGCGCGGAACTATTATCCGAGATATTATGTCGTTTTGGAACGTCATATCTCCACGCGGAGCTATTATCCGAGATATTATGTCGTTTTGGAACGTCATATCTCCAGCGCGAAGCTATTACCCGAGATATTATGTCGTTTTGGAACGTCATATCTCCGCGCGAAGCTATTACCCGAGATATTATGTCGTTTTGGAACGTCATATCTCCGCGCGGAGCTATTATCCGAGATATTATGTCGTTTTGGAACGTCATATCTCCAGCGCAAAGCTATTACTCGAGATATTAAAAAAAAATCATCGAAAAAGTTTCGATTTTAGCACCGACCTCGATTTTGAAGAAAAAAACATGATGATTTGGAATGTCATATCCTCGCGCGGAGTTATGTCGTTTTGGAACGTCATATCTACGCGCGGAACTATTATCCGAGATATTATGTCGTTTTGGAACGTCATATCTCCAGCGCGGAGCTATTATCCGAGATATTATGTAGTTTTGGAACGTCATATCTCCAGCGCGAAGCTATTACCAGAGATATTATGTCGTTTTGGAACGTCATATCTCCGCGCGGAGCTATTATCCAAAATATTATGTCATTTTGGAACGTCATATCTCCAGCGCAAAGCTATTACCCGAGATATTAAAAAAAATCATCGAAAAAGTTTCGATTTTAGCATCGTCCTCGATTTTGAAAAAAAAAAATCTGATGATTTGGAATGTCATATCTTCGCGCGGAGTTATGTCGTTTTGGAACGCCATATCTCCGCGCGGAACTATTACACGAGATATTATGTCGTTTTGGAACGTCATATCTCCGCGCGAAGCTATTACCCGAGATATTATGTCGTTTTGGAACGTCATATCTCCAGCGCGGAGCTATTATCCGAGATATTATGTCGTTTTGGAACGTCATATCTCCAGCGCGAAGCTATTACCCGAGATATTATGTCGTTTTGGAACGTCATATCTCCGCGCGGAGCTATTATCCGAGATATTATGTCGTTTTGGAACGTCATATCTCCAGCGCGGAGCTATTATCCGAGATATTATGTCGTTTTGGAACGTCATATCTCCATCGCGAAGCTATTACCAGACATATTATGTCGTTTAGGAACGTCATATCTCCAGCGCGAAGTTGTTACCCGAGATATTATGTCGTTTTGGAACGTCATATCTCCAGCGCGAAGCTATTATCCGAGATATTATGTCGTTTTGGAACGTCATATCTCCAGCGCGAAGCTATTACCCGAAATTTGGGTCAAAATTTTGATTTTAAAATTTTTGATGCCAATCGATAGTACTGTTAATTACGAGTCTAAAATGGTATAAAATTCCAAAATCTGACGTTATTTAGCCGAGATATTCCAAAAAATCATCGAAAAAGTGTTGATATTCGATCCGAACCCGATTTTGACAAAAAACGTGATGTTACCCCTTGCTTTTTGGTCAATTTGGGTCAAAATTTTGATTTTAAAATTTTTGATGCCAATCGATAGTACTGTTAATTACGAGTCTAAAATGGTATAAAATACCAAAATCAGACATTAATTGGCTGAGATATTCAAAAAAATGATCGAAAAAGTGTTGATTTTCGATTTGAACCCGATTTTGACAAAAAACGTGATGTTACCCCTTGCTTTTTGGTCAATTTGGGTCAAAATTTTGATTTTAAAATGTTAGATGCCAATCGATAGTACTGTTAATTACGAGTCTAAAATGGTATAAAATTCCAAAATCTGACGTTATTTAGCCGAGATATTCCAAAAAATCATTGAAAAAGTGTTGATTTTCGATCCGAACCCCATTTTGACAAAAAAACGTGATGTAACCCCTTGCTTTTTGGTCAATTTGGTTCAAAAATTTTATTTTAAAATTTATGCAATTAACTATATACATATATTAATTTGGGTTAATTGCATAAAATTGAATTATTTATACCTTATATTGCGCCTCACAAAAGGACTACGATATATAAAATAGGCTCTCCAGTTCTTGCTGTGGGTAGATACAAAAAAATAAATGGACGAGCTTTGAGTTTTGAAACTGATCGTAGCAACATTAAAATGAGCCTAAGAACAGGTGTGCACTGCAAACATTCTCAATTCAATCTTATGCCTTAAAGTAGAACCTTATCAAGGCAAAACGGTCGAAAATAAAAATTATGAAAATCTGTTAATATAGTATGGGCCCATTGGAAGACTTTATAATTATGTGTTTGTTTGTTTCAATCATCGTGCCGGCCTTACTTATTATTGTGCTGTCACTTTATCGCTTCAAGGGATATCTGGGCTACAATATGCTGAAACTCGCCTTCCATCGGCTGCCAAACACCTCCACGTGTACAATTTGCTTGGAAAGCACAAAGGATGGTGGACTGACCGCCGCGTACCGGCTGCCGTGCAGCCACTGGTTCCATAAGACCTGCTTGAGTAAGTGGTTAGGTCACAACAATAATTGCCCGAACTGCCGCCGCACCGTTGATTATTGGAACGGCATGAGGATCGAACCCGTTGAACATGTTTATTTGGATTTTTTATCAGATGAGGATTTTGATGACGATATACCGATTAGACCAAGGACTTTGTGGCCTACTTCGCGATTACCGCTATCTTCCCACCTGCGACGTGTGGAATACTATTAATTTAAAGAGTACCGACAAATTGGCATAAGGCAATAGAAATACTCTTCATATTTTCCATTTCCATATGCATATTTACATTTTGGTTTTGGGCATCGGGAATGAAAATAGTTGGACATTTACTGATTGGCTCAGAGCTATGTATATATTTTTGACAATCTACGTTTTTATGATAAATGCCACACAACATTTAACTGTGATAAAGACACCTGAAAGATCATTCAACGCTCCGCACAGCAACATGAATTTTTATATTTTTCTAAATTACAAATTATGAAAACAAGACACATTGCTACATTTATATATTTTTATAATTAGGCATTAGCACTTGAAATATTTTGCCTACCTTTCTATAGAAAATATATATATGTTTGATGGATAGTATATGATATATTCTTGGAATGAACGACGAGGTGAGTTGATAGGGTTCATTTTATAGTGTAGAGAATTCCGCGATATCGGTACAGTATATCATATAGCTTGTTTTAGAATTAAGTTTATATATGAAAGCGAACCGATTTGACCTGGAACTGCCATACATTTTACACTAAGAAACCAAACGGAAACAAATTGGAATTGGTTAAAAACAACAAACTTTATATAAAAACTTTGGTCCCAACTATGGCATTATCTACGCCTATTTGATAGCTGCCAGTTTTGGGTAGCGATCTAATGTAGCCCGCATATTGTATTTGAAAATATATATGTCTTGCTATATTTTCAGTGGGCAATGGGCAGTTTATAGAAGAAATTGAAATGTTTCATTAAAAAAATTCTGTCATTTTTCAATAATTCAAATCAAATAAATTGTGTTTAACAAAATCATTTTCTGAAAAACATGCCTCGACTTAGATGCAGTTCTACGCCAGCCCTTTGAACCAACGGCTTGGCATTGCCTTTCACAACATGCTCTCAGACGCATTGTGTTGCGTTTGCAATTTCAGATCCGTAAGACGAATATAATTTATATAACGATTTGCTTATGTTATCGATTTTCAATGCATTCAGCACTTTTCACAATGCAAATGGCAATTATTCCACTGAAAATGACTCTATTTCCAGTGGGAAAGCCATCGACATCAACATGCCATTATCATTATCAAACAGATACTGTTGGCAGCCGGGCAATATACTGGCCCGATTGCTGGTGGTGCTGGTGGTGCTGGTGGTGCTCCTACTGCAGCAGTTGCCGCTGAGCATTGCCAACAAATCTGTTAACAGTTGGCAATAATTGTGCTGCAGCAGAAACGTCCTCATAATTTCAGTGGCTGCTTTGTCCCTTTTCGGAGGCAACATAATGTTATATGCCGGCTATTTTTGGGCTGGGCCTTTTATTGTTGCTGCCAGTGTTGTCATCGATGGCATTAATTTTGGTAAGTGCGCACAAAAACGGATAGGGTATGCTGGGATCGGGGGCTCTCTCTCTGTGTATGTGTGTGTGTGTGTGTGGGGCTGGCCTAAGAACTTGAAGAGACAGTTTTCAACACGCACTGGCAAACGATTTTTATGGCACGACATTTCCGAGCAACATTTTCTTGAATTACTCGCTCAATTTCCGTTGAATCAACATGCGAGCCGGAGCCGGAGCCGGACCCGAGGGCATCCGAACTGCAACTGCAATGTTAATTGATGGCCTGTTGCAATATTGTGTAATATTAATTAGCCCCCGGCGCGACAACCATCAAAATATAATTTGTAAATACATATTTGCGCAAACATTTTGCACTCAACTCACGATTTTGTCAAGTTTTTATTTCATAATATTCACGGCTCATAAACGCAGCTACTTTGTTGCCTGTCAGCTTTGTTCTTCCATTCCTTGCCCTGCTCCATCTCCTTACAGCCGATCATCATCCGTTGTGGGCACGTGCGTCTGGCATGGTTGCGCAGAGGGGGGCGGCCAGGCGGGCGCCAGCTTGCTTGCCTTGTGCATGTTGCACAGATTTGTTTGTGGGCGTGTCGGCAATATGTCAATATCCACTCGAGAGTCGCGCATGCGTGCGCCCCAAATGCCCGGAAAAGGTAGTTTGCAGTTGAGGCGTAGCCACAAAGGGTTGCAGCCCTCCACTTCTGCTCGGGTCTTAAAATATGCCACATCCACTAAACAAGTATTTTTACACAGGCCTAATTCAAGCGACTAACGAATACCCTGGCTGAGCTGTTAGCTGGACGAAAAACAAGCATTGAGCTAAGCTAAGTCCAATATTTTGAATCTTGCAGATATTTCTTTTAACTTTTAGAAAATATAAGTATCACATGTGTTTTAGTCAGATTAAGTAGGCTACTAATTGTTTAAAGATTTGTTCTGTAAAACTTTTAACTTAACCAGAAATTTTTTAACATGTATACTTTTTTATTTCACAAAAAGATGGATAAGTCACATATGTGGAACTATTTAGTAAGACTTCGAGTTAAAAAGAGTTTTCAGTCTGGTTTAAAAGTGGCTTTATACTTACTATTTTAAGATCTTATAAACTATGTTATGTTCAATAAAATTCGCCAAATCCTAAATACTTAAGACTGAGACAAAGTTGAAAGTTCGCTGGAACATAATTATTTGGCTAAAGAAAATTTACTAAAATTGATAACGCGGTAAATATAATGCTACTGGATACTGCCGGTAATTAGAGGTGCACATGTTACAGGGTATTTAAACGAAAGAAAAAAAGAAAATGTAAAGAAATGAAGAATACCAAACACACGACGCGCTCGCATAAACAACGGTTCAAGTGTCAATGAAAGGAAAAAAGCGGAAAAAATAAGGCAAAATATAAACACGGTTTCACTTTCAAAGCGATTAGCTATGGACGCGCCCTGAACTTGTGCGGAAAATGTGGCAACAACAACAAGACACTGGGCACAAGTTGATAAGAAAAAAAACAGGCACAGTTGCAGTTGTTGTTGTTGTTGTTGTTGTTGTTGTTGTTGTTGTTGTTGCAGTTGTTGTTGTTGCATTGCCACTTGAAAACCGTCCGGCCATTTGACACCAACAGACGGGGCAACCAAACGAACGCAAATATCGATCGACCAGGCGACACACCGCACACCTACGACAGTGACACACACACACACACGCGCACACACACATATATATTTATATATATGTACATGTGCATGGACCTACCGCAGTGCTTGTCTGCAATAAATATTCAAATTTTCAATGGGACGATATTCGTTTTACAGTGGCATCCAGAAATCATCTTTCAAAGGGTCTTCGGTCTCCGCTGAGCCCTTTAAAGTGCCTGGCGTCTGTCCAGTCCATTATCATCATTATATATCGCCTGATACTGCTGCTGAGCCTAATCTTAATCCAAGGGCAGTCTATATAGCCTTTGACAACGTTGTGCCAGTGCACATTGGAAATATGGCACCTTATACGTCATGCTATGATAAGTCTTATCAGCAAAAGAAAAAGGCCGCCCGCCGCCCGTCGCCTTTGATTAGCAGCTACTCAAATCGAAGCTAACTAATTCAAACCTACAATTATAGATATATACAGCTTGGTGCCGCTTAAAGTTCGATATCTATACTAAAGTATTTATATAAAAAGTATATATATATATATATGTATATGTATACCCTTTTCGCATACAGATTAACATGAATGCATATTTTGTACATATGTTTAATCTATGCCAAATGGTTACGTCAATTTTGTATTAATGAATCACATATTTGACACACACCTAGTTACTCATCATACTGACCGTTGAGTGTGTGAATTTTGGATTAGATTATAGCAGGTGCCCATAACAAATTCTATTCATTTTCGGAATACAAGGGAGAAGTACATAAATGTATGAATATGTGTTGCCTTTTTTTCCAGTTAAAGTAATTGCTAAAGTTGTTGTTAAAGTTATTGTTAAATATATATTTTAAGTTGTGGTTAAAGGTTAAAGTTGGTTGAACTTTATACCATGAACCTATTAAAATTGGGTAAAATCTAGCAGAAAGAAGCATCAATGACCCTGTGAAGTATATGTATATATTCTTGATCAGCGTCCGCCTCTCCATCCCCTCTATAAGAGCTAGAGACGTGTTTCTGATAATCGATAGCTCTCCCTGTTTTCTAGCAATCGATAAGAAATCAAAATCGAAATCAAGGTTATTTAACAAATCTCTTAGCTTTAAAGAGCTAAATTTAGCATGTAGCTTCCAGAATCAAATAGATCAAATATCTTTCATTTTATGACTCCGGCTTTCCCTTTGATAGTGTGTCCGCTAGGGTGTCCGCTGGTCGGGCACTCCCGACTACAGCACTCCCATTTGGTTATTAAATAAGTAAGTAAGAAGCATTCATTGTGGTATGATAGTTTTCTGCTGTTAATTGCACTCAAACACCTCTCAAACACCTTCAATATATGTATTCTTTCTATATCAGATCTGGAGAGAAAGCTGGCTAAATATTTCAAGAAGTTTACGCTGATGGCATAGATGAATAGTTAGTTCGGTTATCTTGATCAGATAGGTGATTATTGAGAGTTTTGATAACTATCTGGTTGACACAATAAGCCAGAACTTTGATGTTAACGCCATGTTCAGGTATTCGAGCTGATTGATTCAGTCATGAAATTGGGCTGCATATGAAAATGTAATTTTTAAATAATAATAATTCGAATTCTCAAATCTCAAACACATGGACTGACTATATGCCCTCCCCCCGCTGCTTTGCCATGTGTCCATTGAATACGTTTGTGGTGCCTTTTGCCCTCTACGACACATCTGCTGGTTTGTTGTTATTGTTGTTTCTGTGTTTTTGTTGTGTGTTATTGTTTTTATGAATTTTTATGCAAGTGTTGAGAAATTTATGTGCTCCCGGGCCGTGTCTCAACTGGAAAGCCCGAATGCAATGCCAATTTGATGTTATTTATGGAGCCAACAATAACAACAACATCAGCAGCGGCATCAGCAAAAACCAACAACAAATGGCGGTATTAAATTTTAGACGCTGCGAAAAACTGGGATAAACGGCCGGTGCCGTCTGTGAGTATGACATATATATGACAGCTCTTTGATGATCGTCTTTTTGAAATTGGCCCAGAACATTTATGTATATTATGTGACACGGCCAAAGTTCAATTCGATATAATCAATCTGGGAACATAGGTTTGGCCCCGTCTCATGCGCCACGTCACTTTTTAGTTATTTTTGAACTATTTGTTGTTGTTGTTTTTTTTTTGTAATTCTTATGGATTTGTGTACTTATTGTGACTAATGAACGTCGAGTTTTGACGGCTTGTCATTTGGCTATTTTTTCTGTTTCCTAGACACAGCTCTGACAACGTGTGAAATCGCATAGATGCCCAACGCATAGCCCTAATCTTAGGTATATATATATATAGTGACATATCCATAGTCGCACCCACCCTTTAACATAACTTAGCACATAAGCATAAGCACAATTATAAACATTTCTAATATTGTAAACAAAGAGCCTGGTGATAACATCGACATTGGTCAAGATCAAACTGTCCCCCTTTGGTAGACATAAACAATTCACCCTAAATATCACGCCACTGTCAATGTTCCCATCAGAGTACTATCCCACGCATAATTGCTGACGCAGCTCAAACTTCACTCAATTTTGACTCAAACTCTCTCAAAGCGAAGTTTGCTAAGCGACCGCAACAGTTAGATAAATCAGTTCATATTCGGGAAGCAAATCTGAATGTACTCAACAAAAGTAGCCGTTAAGTGAAAATAATAAATTGAAATATATTTTTTTATAGTAACCTAACGTGTAAAACTTAATTGGCGCAGCCGGTAGGATACGTCGGGAAAAATTAAAGATCGCTAAAGGATAATTAATTCCCAGATCTAACGCACAATCGCGACCGAAAGTGTTGTCGGAGTGTAATAAAAATTTTCTCGAATACGTATCCGCACAAGAACCTTCGGGTCATTAGTAGCTTAATAATATTGACCCTTTGGGCAATAAAGCTACTACAGTTAATAACGACTGGATTTGCATATCGTTTGATCCCTGCAATACGTTATTACTGAGTCTTTTTAAGACACACACACAAAAAAAAAAAACATTTAACCAATAATCCATCACAAACTTTAACCTAAAATAAAAGTGCAAAATCAAAGAACAATAAAGTTCAAACCTACAAACTCAAAACTATTCAAAAAAAGTGTATTACATCAAGATGACCATGGAATTATCAGAACAACACCTCAACCAGGCCCTTTCACAACTTAGACAGGTGCCAAGCTTTGACGGATCAACGGATCAACTAAACGCCTTCATTAAAAGGATAGATTACATCCTACACCTGTATCCAACCCGAGATGTTAGACAACATAGCATCTTATACGGAGCCATCGAATTGCAAGTCACAGGAGATGCTCAGAGAATATCACAAAGGACAGCAGCCAACACTTGGCAGGAGCTGAGAAACGCATTGATTGAAGAATACAAAGTGCAGACACCATTTGAAGAACTCCTTCGACGCTTATACAACACGAATTACCAAGGAAACGTCCGTAAGTTCATCGAGGAGCTCGAAAATAAATCTTTTGTTATATTAAATAAGTTAGCACTAGAAAATATACCTAGCAATACAACCCTTTATACAAATGCTATGAATAACACAATCAAAGATGTTATTACAAAAAAATTACCAGATAGGCTTTTCATGATGTTAGCCAGACACGACATTACGTCGACACAAAAACTAAAGCAAGTAGCTCAAAGAGAGGGATTATATGAAAATAGCGTTACTGAAAAA